ATAATAATAATAATAATAATAATAATAATTAAACAATGAAACGCATACATGGTTGAGAAACAAAAAATACACTGAATGTGTAGTTGCAACGAAACCTAATTAGTTCCCATTGGACATGGAATTCGGGTTTTGTTTGTCATGCATATTTTGGATTGCGCACAGAAAATCTGTGCATATTAATTACCTGATTTGTATGATTAGTTATTTCAATGAATCTTAGTAGAAATGTACTCTAAGGAAACGTGATGATTTAATTAGTTTTGGGTTTATATACATCAACAATAATTATGGTACCTAATTTGCAATTATTTACTTTTCACCAATTTAATTTTATTAAAATGAGTGATTGTCCGTAATCATCTGTGTCAACTTTTACTTTTTTGACTTCTTGGAAACTACAAGCCTGTTTGCTTTGATACTAGGTCTATTTGTACCTTGGGTAGACCTCTTAGATTTGTTCATTTTGAGATGATATCTCTAATTTTGATGAAAATTTTTGGTAAAACTGCAAGTTCGATTACTTTGCTATTATACATAGATACTACAGGTTGACCTCTCTCAGATTTGTTTATTTTCTAATATCTTTTTGACTCCCATGTGCGAAGCACAAAATGGGAGTCTTTGCAGTTAGTGTGTCTGTGTGTCTGTCTGTGTGTGTGTGTATATATGTGTGTCTGACTGTTCCACTGCTATCTCAAGAACCATACATCGGTTTTTGATGAAACTTGGTGCATAGATGCTCTGGGCCAATGCGCAGATTTGATTAGGTTTTGGTAAAAATCCATGCTCGTTAATTACCTAATTTGCATGATAATTAGCTAATTTTTAGCTGTTCTATGACTGTTCCACTGATATCTAAAGAACCACTCATTGGATTTTGATGAAACTTGGTACATAGATGCTCTGAACATATGCGCAGATTTGATTAGTTTTTGGTAAAAATCCGTGCATATTAATTACCTAATTTGCATGATAATTAGCTATTTTTTAGTGGTTCCATGACTGTTCCACTGATATTTAAACAACCACTCATTGGATTTTGATGAAACTTGGTACATAGATGCTCTGATTAGTTTTTGGTAATAATCCGTGGACACTAATTACTTAATTTGCATAATGATTAGTCAATTTTCGGTTTTTCCACTGATATCTCAAGTACTAATCATCACATTTCAATGAAACTTGGTACATAGATGTCATATGACACTGCACAGACCTGATAGTTTTTATGGTAATATCAGTACATATAATTACCTAATTTGCATAATTAATTTTCAGCTTTTGATACAAGTAGTGAGCATTACATTTCAATGAAACTTGGTACTTGCATACTCAAGGACTATGCAGAGATTGATTGTTTCGGATAAATATTTGTGTATATTAATCACCTAATTTGCATAATTAGTTAATTTTCAGCTTTTCCACGGGTATCTCAAGTACTAATCATCGCATTTCAATGAAACTTGGTACATAGATCCTTTAGGACTATGCAGAGACCCGATTAGTTTCAGGGTAAATAATTGTGCATATTAATTTTCAGCTTTTCTACTGATATCTAAAGTACTAATCATCACATTTCAATGAATCTAGAATTATGCAGAGACCCAATTAGTTTTTGGTAAATATTTGTGCATATTAATCACCTAATTTGCATAATTAACCAATTTACAACTTTCACACTGATATCTCGGGTACTAATCATCACATATCAATGAATGTTTATACATGGATGCTGTAGGACAATAGACAGACCTGGATAATTGTGGGTTAAAATCTGTACATATTAATTAACCAATTTTAAGCTTTCACACTGATATCTAAAGTACTAATTTCCATTTTAATGAAACTTAGTACAAAGATGCTCTAGGACAATGTACAAACCTAATTAGTTTGGGGTAAAACTCTGTTCATATTATTTCCCTAATTAGCATAATTCATAATGTTTTGGTTCTAATCACATTTCAATTAAACTTGGTACATAGAGTTTTTGTTACATTGCTCAGACCTCATTAGTTTTACAATCAAATCTGTTCATGTTAATTTTCTGATTTGCATAATTAGTTTTCAGCTAAGTAATTTCAAATTATATTTAATGTGTCTCCAATACTCTCAGCACATGGGAGTTCTTTCTAAGCTTTCTTTGATTTAATTAGTCCCTGTTCGGACGAAGTCCGAAAACTGGAACTTATAATTCGGTCTCCGTCCGTGTGTCCGTCCATCCGGAGTCGTATCTCAGAATCCCTTGGACCGATTTCGTTCATTCTTTGCATGTGCAGAGTACTTTATGTGGGACATGTATGCACATGCAGTGGTTTAGCGATTTGATTCAAAATGGCCGACTGGCAGCTATCTTGTTTTTTGAAAATGTTGTATTTTGGACATGCTTTGTCAGTTTTCATTCAAACTTGGTACATAGATTATACATGTTAGGATACATGTCCCCGACCATCCATGAGTTCCCGAGTCTGTCTGTCCGTCCATCAGTCTGTCAGAGTCATATTTCAGAATCCTGTGGACCAATTCCGTTCATTCTTTGCATGTGCCTAGTACCTTATGTGGGACATATGCACATGCAGTGGTTAAGCGATTTGATTCAAAATGGCCGACTGGTAGCCATCTTGTTTTTTGAAAATGTTGCATTTTGGACATGCTTTGTCGGTTGTCATTCAAACTTGGTACATAGATTATACATGTTAGGATACATGTCCATGACTATTTATTTCGCAATTGGATCAAAGATGGTCGAGTGGCAGGCATCTTGTTTTTTTTTTTTTATGCAGTATCTTGGACGTGCTCTGTCAGTTTTCATTCAAATTTGGCACATACATGTACTTTATACATGTTAGGATGCATGTCCATAACAATTTGTTTCAAAATCTGGTCAAGGATGGCCGATTGACAGCCATCTGACTTTTTGGCCTTACTGCTATATTTCCACAATTTATGTAACACATACATCATACATATCAGTGTGTTTCATAATCAGATCAAAGATGGCCGAATAATGGCTGTTTTTATTTTTGGCCATAATACTACTACAATGAACTAGTGTTTTGATGTAAATAAACAATCTGTTGTAAACGCCACTTGGAACTCAAGTTTCAATGACACGCTCGCGACAACCCCTCTGCTTTAATATGACGAGCACAAAGAGAACTTGCCAAAATTTAACGGGGACTGTGTCATTTTCAATGACTTGTTGAAATGTGCATTGCGAACAGTGAAGAGAGGCTGCTTGTTAGAGTTAATTCCCACATAATAAAACTTCATACATGTGTGCCCTGGAACAATACACAAACCTAAATCTATGCACAATATTTTCATATTTAGTTCATTGGGTCAATCCAGATACGATTAGTTTAATTTAATGTTGAAAAACATGTATTGATTATCTACAGGTAATTAGTATTAGCCTATTTCTGAAATCTCAAAAAATGTGGTAGAGATGCTGTGGAATTGAACTGAAAACCGAATATGTAAAATCAAATGTATTTTGCGTTAGTATAAATTTTGATAATGCGGATCACATTGTTCATCTCAAACAGCATACAAATATTAGTTGCTAAGCTCCTTGTTTAAAAGACATTAATTTTAACTTGTGTCCAATACTCTCGGCATACAGGATTTTTTTTCCCCGAGTTTCCTTTAATGTACTTAATTGTATATAAATTGAGTGCAAAGGCAGGCATAATGGTTCATGTGAATGCCAATTTTCTTTGTTTGCATGTCAGTTTGTTTTGTGATTTGATTTGAAAATGGCCCACTTCTTGTGTTCTTTCTTGGAAATGGTGGAACTTGCAAGATTGTTAGAAAGACTAGACATAATTGTAAATGTATGCACATTTGTTGACCTTTGACATTTGATTCTCAAATGTGCCTGGTGGAGTTTTTGCTGATGTACGTTACTTTCATGACTTGACTCAAAATGACCAACTGGTGACCATTTTATTTCGGGCTAGGACATTCAAACTCGCACTTGTCGTTCAAATGATAATGACGGTGCGAAATATGTTTGGGTGGGTTTTGTCACAGAATAATAGTCTATTAGATGTGCGAAATAATATAATTAGGGGACAAAAAAAACAAACCTGCGTAGAAATAGGTCTTTTGATTATCGAGACATTTTTAAATGGACTTTATTACAGACAATGCATGAGACAAATTTCACCCAGAAATTCCGAAGTGTGCTCTCGCAATCACGGATTGAATGGATACAAGTTTCGCCATTTTTGTTGTCGCATGGTTATTATGTAAACAAAATTTGTCCCGCTATACTTAGGCTTTAAAATTACAGTTCTGAAAGAGACAACAGACAGAGAATGATTTATTTGAAAAGAGGGTTACAAAAATCAAAATTTGATTGGTAGAGTGTGCTGACAACTGGGGAACAAACTGAGCACCAGAAACAAGTTAATGATATACCAGTACATGCAATTACTAATTATAATGAAAATCAATCGGTTTATTTCTGGTTACACTCGTAACACATCAGTGAACAAACTTTTTTTTTTTTTTTTTTTAAATCAGCCTTGTTTACAAACGGGTACAACATTTTGTATAAATATTGCAGGTCTGTGTAATTTTCTCTCAGGGATAAAAAGTATATTTCAATGAGATTACGATCAAATATTAAAAATATCTATGAAAACACAGATATTAAACAGGACTACTTTGTGGCGAACGATTACACATTGAAAATGGCAGTAAAGATTGCACTAAAGTTGAATACTATTTCCCAACATTTTTTTTTTTGCATTTTGATCTGAATTGTCAGGTCAGACAACATTAACCTAACCTATTGAGCACCAAAGTTGACTTCAGTCACCATCCACAAAATAGTAGTATTTATAGTCTGCTCTTTTTCAAATGAAATATTTCAATTTTTTTTTATCAAAAACCAAAAGCGAGGTCACATTTTGTCTGTTTTAGTCTAAAATGAAGATTGAATTCAGTGACAGTTGCAGAAAATTTGAACAAATATAACTGGGAAATTTGGTGCTCAAAGGGCTAAACTCCCTACAGACAGCAATGTCAAAACTTGGGTAATTTTTAACATAGAGCCAACTACCCAAAATGTTATAAATTTAACACAGCTTTTATATTTTTTTTTATAAAAATCAAATGGTATACTGGACATAACAGTATTTACAGTGAATTTCATGTAGGCATGAATATTTAAAAATTTTCTAAGACGGTCAGTTGAAAACAACTTGACCAATCACAACACTGATGCATAGTAGTAATTTAGCCAATGACTGAAAGAGACTTGCAAAGACTCATGGGTGTTACCAAATTTGCATTTATAGCCAATTAAAGCATCTTTAATGGATTTGAATGAAAACATTAATGCCCTTATGAAAATCACTGTACATGTACCAAAATGTTGATTCAACCACCCTGGTACTGGTACAATAGAGGAAGTTGATTCGATGGAGTACTTACTCTAAATGTGTCTGTCCACCATTTCAAAACCAGTTTGTTTTAACTAAAGTTACACTCAAATAAAAGGCTTGGGTAGTCAAGTATTAACTAGAGTGTTTTGCATCCGCTGAGCATTTGTATCAACACTAGAAATGTACATCTAAAACACAAAATAGAAATTTCCCTGTAGTATAAAAAAATAGAATCACTAATCGAACTCAGTCGCGGTTTTCCTGACAAGTAAATATTTAAACTGGTTCTCTTTTTTTCAAAATTTTTCTACATTGCTTCTCGAGAGACCAGACATGATTTGACAACACTTGCAGTGTGTGACTTAAAACCTTTGATGTTTGGATCTAAATTAATGATAAAAGCAAAAAACTACTTTGTTGTAAATATTCACAAAAGTGGTGAAAAGGCGCATAAATACACAGTACAACATATACTGAATATTAAAATTGTATGATTACAACTCCATTTGTTGTTCACTAACATTCAACCAATACAGACAGACGTACATTCACAAACTTATGGATAGTTAAAACACAAAAACCCAAAGTTCTGGTAATTTAGATAATGATAAGCACAAGAAGAAAATAATTTTCTCCCGTGGTTTAAAACAAACACGCTATTAAAATTTATGCCACAATAAAGTGATATATGTACACAGAGCAAGTTCATGAGTCAGAAAAAAGTTCTCATTTTGTTGTCGTATTTGAAAGATTACCATCAATGTTCAATATTGAGTAGTCCAAATCATTGATTTCTGCCGACTGAGTTTCGCTATTGTCCACCATCAATTTGTCACCACGGTTACATTCCAGAGCATCATCATGCTGGCTTGCAGTTCCATTTCCAGGTTCTCCATCAAGAAAAACAAAATCCTGCGAATTTGTAGAGTCTGTGCCTTTTGGGAGAGCTGTCTCCGATTGGTCAGAAGACTGATCAGCTGACACTGAAGATTGATCAGTTTGGTCGACAGCAATGTCACCTGACAGGACTGTCTCTAATTGGTCAGCTGACTGATCAGATGACTCCCCATCTAGATTCAGTCCGTAGTGATCATCGCTGATTACGATCTCGTCTTCATCGTCAAGTAAATTCCGAGAAAACTTTAGAGTACCTTTAAGGATATCTCTTACCTGTGAAGAGTGGTGAAATTGTTGCCATGGTTACACAACACATGATAAAACAAATATAACATCGGAGTATCTACTTGCTAATGTGTCAAACAGTCCGTGTGCTTTCTACGTGGCATCACGTTTTCATGAAACAAATGTTGCATTTCTCAGTACCAGTACTATAAGCAGTGGCTGGTTATAGCAAGAATCAGTTCAGATAAAATAATTGTTTTATTCACTGATGTTGATGTTAAATACACATGTAATGTATACAACTTATGAGTAGCATTGTCACAGTAGATTACAAACTCGTAAGGCACACACAGCGTTTTTAACTTGAAATACGCGTGCAGGTCGGTAAAATTACGTCACTGTGTTAATATTAATGGTTCTACAAAACATATACCGCAACTAATTTATACAAAGCAACATTGTTTATTTAATACAAAAAAGACAAACCTGTTTAAGTCCAGCGATTGCCAGCATGATTTCATCTTCTCTCTGCAACTTCTCTTTTGTCAATTCTTTCTGAACATTATCTGAAGTGGGAGAAGAAAGTGAAATGTTACCGAGCGTAGAATTTAAATCTTTAATACGCAAGGTCCATCATTCTAATCACAGCAGAACTCTATAGACAACGGGGCAAGCCAGGATGTATGGAACAACTAGAGATAGTACTCGCATGTGAACTGAGCATGTGATTATTCCAACACTCTTTACGGCTGATTTTGTAAATTTTACAATATCAAGGATTGACATGACAAATTTATCATCAAAGTATTTATCTAAAATTCTAATTATTCCCTATTATTGTTTGTTTTAGTGATTTCTCAAAATGACTGACAAAAGCAGTGCAACCAAATGCCTTTTGAATACTTCCACAGATGAAAAATGACTGGTATATAACAACATCGACATAACAGGCAATGTGTTAACTAGATGGGAAATTACACAATTATTGTTTCCATGGAAACAAGTTGGCTACCCTCTCCATTATTTCTTCTTTATCTCTTATTTGATGGAGCCTTTCACTTGACACAATATCAAAAATTCTTAGTTAAATTTTCTGCATTTTCATGAGCCAGTCGCTGATATCAAAGATGTAGGGATTGCAATAATGTGGACAAGAAAATAAAACAATCATAAAATGTTTAAAAAAATGTTACGAGATGCACATTTTTGTTTGGAATTGCTGTTAAAATCTATTTTCTTCGTACAGTTTTACAATACTTTGCCAAGAAAACTTGAAAGAGAATGTGACTCGCTCTTTCTAGCTGACAAACTGGACCTCGGCCATATCACCTTTGGTATTTTTATCAATCTCAAAAAAGCCTTTGACACCATTAATCATGAAATACTGTGCTGCAAACTAGAACACTATGGTATTAGAGGTCTTCCTCTATTATGGTTTAAAAACTACTTTTGTAATCGCCAACAATTTGTATGCATTGAAAACACTTCATCTTTGCCACGACCTATTACCTGCGAGGTTCCGCAAGGGTCGATTCTAGGCCCAATCTTCTTTCTAATATATATTAATGATATAGCCAACTCTACCAATTCCTTTCATTTTCGACTCTTTGCTGATTATACTAACCTATTTAAATTCATTCCAAACAATAAAATCAATCTCTCAGAAATTGATAATGACTTTCAAAGGGTTTCGTGCATGGTGCAGTGTTAACAAACTTACTATTAATTCTGAAAAAACAAATTACATGATAATTAAAACACCACAACGATGGTGTCACACACAACGTAATATTACCGTAATTGGTATAGTACAGGTGTGATGGTTCAAATACCAAAATGGCAACAGTAACAGAAAGACTTCCCTGGCGGCGATGATAAAATACGAACACGGAGCCAACAGATGAGGTTTATTATACTATTATTATTATACTCTGCAAACATCAAGTCCAATAACTAGATACTTAAACTCCAATACAATTCAACGAGATATTCGATCTGATCTCAGTGCTGAACAACTCCCCTATATATACCTGCACTGTCTATAAATAGACCATTACATCAGCATACATAATGAGTCTTGAACTTACTACCAATTTCTAGAATGTTCCATTACCTTCTATTGCCTCCTACAGTATTTTATTACCTATTCAACCATTTTCTTAAAAATATAGAATATTCCACCCAGACACAGTGCGGTTCTAGAACATTCTCAGTGACACAGAAGTGGTAAATAAGTCGTATGCGACAGATGGGTCACTACTGAGGGCAGCCTGGAAATTAACGGGTCACCGATAGAGGGCGTATATGTTGTCAATTACCTTGGCATCTCCATTGACCAGAATATGTCATAGAAAGCCCACATTGATAAAATTTGCAAAGTTATCGCACCAAAAATTGGATTAATTTCACAACTACGTCATTTTGTACCTAGGAATATACAAATTCTCTTATACAATTCCTTAATTCTACCACACATTACATATTGCTTGGAAATCTGGGGTAATACATATGCTACTCTACTGCAACCAATATACATGTATCTCTTACAGAAAAAAATAGTACGCCTCATCACTTTCTCTGATTCGTATTCCCATGCTGCTCCCTCTTTTCAAAAAACCACCGTATTACCCCGGGCACGCGCCCCTCCCTGGGCAAGCGCCCACCCCCCTGTTTTCACAAAAGTTACATGTTGGGGACATCCTCGGTTAAACGCCCAGGGTGATTTTTAGCTAAGAACAGGATTTTATTTGTCAAAAACGAACGCGTTTGATTTATTTAAATAGTGTGTTTGTTATGGTAGTCCTCTTTTTGACTCCCGTGTGCGAAGCACAAAAAGGGAGTTTTTGCAGTGTGTGTGTGTGCGTGTGCGTGTGCGTGCGTGTGTGTGTGCGTGTGCGTGCGTGTGTGTGCGTGCGTGTGCGTGTGTGTGCCACTGATATCTCAAGAACCATACATCAGTTTTTGATGAAACTTGCCAATGCGCAGATTTGATTAGGTTTTGGTAAAAATCCATGCATATTAATTACCTAATTTGCAGCTGTTTCATGACTGTTCCACTGATATCTAAAGAACCACTCATTGGATTTTGATGAAACTTGGCACACAGATGCTCCAAACTAATGCGCAGATTTGATCAGTTTTGAGTAAAAATCTGTGCAATAGTCATTACCTAATTTGCATAATGATTAATCAATTTTCAGCTTTTCCACTGATATCTCAAGTACTAATAATCACATTTCAATGACACTTGGTACATAGATGTCATAGGACACTGCACAGACCTGATAGTTTTTAGGGTAATACGAGTACATATTAATTATCTAATTAGCATAATTAATTAATTTTCAGCTTCTGATATATCAAGTAGTAATCATCACATTTCAATGAAATTTGGTACATAGACATCATAGGACACTGCACAGACCTGATAGTTTTAGGCTAATATTAGTATATATTAATTAGCTAATTTGCATAATTAATTAATTTTCAGCTTTTGATATTTCAAGTAGTAATCATCACATTTCAATGACACTTGGTACATAGATGTCATAGGACACTGCACAAACCTGATAGTTTTTAGGGTAATATGAGTACATATTAATTATCTAATTTGCATAATTAATTAATTTTCAGCTTTTGATATATCAAGTAGTAATCATATTTCAATGAGACTTGCTACATAGATCTTCTAGGATTATGCAGAGACCTAATTAGTTTTAATTGGATATTAATTATCTAATTTGCATAATGTTCCACTGATATATAAAGAACCACAAATTGGATTTTAATGAAACTTTTAAAGAGAACTATGCAGAAACCCAATTAGTTTTTGGTAAATATTTATGCTTATTAATCACCTAATTAACATAATTAATTAACACTGATATCTCAATTACTGATCATCACATTTGAATAAAATTTGGTACATAAATGCTCTAGGACAATAGGCAGGCCTGATTAATTTTGGGTTAAAATTTGTTCATATTAATTCTCTAATTAGCATAATAATTCATAATTTTTTTGTTCTGTTCTGTTCTGTTCATATTAGTTACCTGATGTACATAATTAGTTTTCAGCTTTTCCATCAATATCTCATGTACAGGTAATTTTGAATTAATTTTTAATGTGTCTTCAATACTCTCAGCACACGGGAGTTCTTTCTAAGTTTTCTTCGATTGGAGTGTGTTGTGGCCCTGAAAAGGACCGTTTTGTTTGTGTTTGTGAACCACGCAGCATGTGGCGCACACGTTCCGCTTTCTCTTCATTCACGACGAATCCAATATTGCAATATTGCAACGATCCATACCTTGGTGAGTGGTTTGAAGCACTTAGCTTTGGTTTCAAAACATAGCATTTCGCTGACTGTGAATCCATAACAGGAGCTCGCACTTTTGAGACATCACGTCGTAAACTTGCTACTTTCTTTCCATCCTTCATCACAGCTATGGCATTACCGTCATGTGGATTATTTTTCTGTCGTTGAAGGAAAAACATTTTGCTGACCTCAAGTCCATTACGATAACCATAATGAGGCATGCCGACGATGGGAACTTGTTGCATTATCGTTATTTTTGTAATTGTGTCATGTGTGTGGGTGCGTGAATAAATCATGTTAATGAGGTCGACCAGAGTTTATTTTCAGTCTGTTTTTTTATGTATCGCCATTTGGATATGTTTATGTATTCACAATAGTTTGTAAACATTTCACGTCAGTAATAAAAGGTTTATTTGTTTCATAACCCTGTCTGCTATTCTTCAGTAATTACAATACGAATTATGCTAATGAGGTCATCGCCATCTTGAATTACAAGCGGTAGTTTTTCCCGGCCGTTTCAACTTGCACTGATCACGGTTACAAAGTGTACGAAAGCATGCCTTTATTTGACCTTATCATACGATCACAAAAACAACTTTTTGGGGTGGACCTCGGGTAAGCGCCCACCCCCAATTTTTCCAGATTTTGTATGTTCAGGCCCCTGGGCGCGTGCCCGGGGTAATACGGTAAGAATACTAGACATTTTTTCACTCTGCAAGTTACAAACCTGTTTATTTGTCTTTGATCTCAGCAATAAATATTTTGTACATTATATTTACAACTATTTGGATCTATTGTCCCATAATTATCAAACTCGTAAATTATATTTAATAATTAAACGAAACATTGGAACTGTTTGCCTGATGCATTTAAAACCATCACTAAGAGACATATATTTAAAGCAAAGTTAAAAACCTATCTCTTAAAAATTTGATTTGGAATATTTTTTCTCTTTCTTTCTTTATTTGGAAATTTGTGTGATAAAATTATGAAATTATATATACAGGGGTTACGGACTCGACTAGTTCTGATGAACTATATCTGTAATCCCCACCAAAAAAAAGAAAAGTCATCTAAGTAGAATTTGTTATTTATTTATTTATATGTATTTACTACCTGTGCAATTTCTACCTTTACCGTTGTTTTTGTTTTTTTGGTAAAATAAATTTCATTCAACAGCAGACAGTGATCAGCAATGAATATTAGTTTGGCCGAGGATGACAACAACTGTTACTAGGGTCAGAAGTCAAGGGTCATTAATAATGAGTTCCAGAAACAGAAAAAAAGATTTTTACTCACTGATAAGTGACTCCATTTTAGTAGAGCAGTACATACACATGTCCTGTAAGTCATTGTACTCTCCTTGTACTATTGATAATTTATGTTGAAGTTCCTCTTCCTGTCAACAAATTTATTAAAATATAATGAGTATAATTTTGTTACATCATATTGGAGGTTTAGTATGCATGTCTCTACAGTATGTGATGTCATCAGTTTGTGTGTATGTGGTCTCAGCTATTCACAATGTATGTCGTCAGTTTATGTGTATGTAGTATTAAATTCTTCACAATATCGTATGTCTTCGATTTAGGCGAGGGTTCTCCGAACCCGCCTATTCACATAGTTCATACCCACCATAGACTCCGGTCAGTCAAAATGACTATTTTGAACTGTGGGCATTAATCAGCGATTCTGCCGGTGACGGAGAGATAGAATCCAGGTCAGGG